TAAAAGTGTATTGACCACTGTAAAACATTTGTCCTATATTTTTCACCTTATTGAAGTCTTTAACAAATATAAGAGTTTCCACTGGCAGCGGGTCAAAGATACTGGCTTCTATCTGAACCCATAGTGAATCCTTTCTTCCCAGAGACCAAGATAGTACATTTCTTAATTGAGCTGACTATAGAAAAAGCTAAGAAAAGCGATCTTTTCTACGTCATTTTATCTGCACAAACAACATATCACATGAAAGCTGAGATTCCGCAGATTCTATTGGTATAAGTCTCATCACTGTACGACCAAAACTCACTGAACTAGCAGCCAGGAAAGAGCAAGAAAACAACTTCACTCTACGTAACCATGATGATAATTATGTCTTACCTTTGCTGTTTTGTGATCAAAAGTTGTGTTCAAGGGCATACAAACGGTTAATCCAATGTCTCCGTGGAACTTTAAAATGATTGCTGATAATCCATCATTACAATTATACATAATAAACAGATTATAATGGTTAGCCGACCGGAGCTTCCGGTTTAGGAGGTGTGCACACAGCGTATCGTTTTAACTGAATAATGGTCATGTTTACATGGATTTATGAACTGCCCCTAATTACCGCCCCCCCTTCCAGAGACACACTCATACCTGCTTGGTATGACATTGAAAAAGNTCCGGTTTAGGAGGTGCACACGCAGCGTCTCGTTGTTTACATGGATTTATGAACTGCCCCTAATTACCGCCCCCCCTTCCAGAGACACACTCATACCTGCTTGGTATGACATTGAAAAAGTTACATTAAATAATAAATACAAATAAATTACAATAAAATGACCGTTTAATCTTGTAATCATGTCTATAATTTTGAGCACCAAATTATTGAAAAGTATCGAAAAATACCGGTATCGGTAAAATCCTAACAATACCCATCCCTACTAGTCAGTCATCCATATTCAATTAAATCTGTAACTTTATTTTCATCTCTGTAGTATAAGCTCCCAGACACACTGCTCTTGGAACTGCTTTAGTTTTCACACTGCTCTACCAGTCAATTTGTCTATTTATAAAGAACAGGGCAAACAGGCTAGCCTTGTTTGTTCAATAGACACTCAATTCTTTGAGATTTGTTTTTTCCAAAATGAGTTTTGAACGGGTGCACTGGTAGACTACTGAACCCAGTTTAGTGTATTTGGTTTTATGTTAATCTCTTACTTTCTTCCTCCCCAGATCAGTGCAGTGCGTCTGCCCCGGGAGCCCAGTAACCCTGAGAGGCTGAAGGGCTTTGGTTATGCCGAATTTGACGATGTGGACTCCCTTCTGAGGGCCTTGAGTCTCAATGAGGAGGTGAGAGGCTGCAACAAGAACTTGGTTTAACATTTTAATCTGAAACCATGGATCTAAACTAAGTGAACTACATTCCCCGTAGCAGTATAGCACAATTAATCTGAAGTTAAAATGTATTTAATGGCCTCCATGCACAAAATAAAGATTTAAGTTGTACAATGAATGAAAGTGGGTTTCTATCTCTGATTTAAAAAATGTTTACAGAAGAATGACTAACTCTGTTTGTTCAACAGAACCTGGGAAACCGAAGGATCCGTGTAGATATTGCTGACCAGTCTAATGATAAAGGTATAATGCTACCATTTTTTTGTTGCCGTTACCATTTCTGACCTCTTTGACTAGATGTCATTTAGCAAGTGGGAATACGTCCCTAAAACCTAATATCCTATCATTTAAACCTACAAATCTATTTTTCTTTACTCCTCAGAGAGAGACAATGGGTCTATGGGAGGCCGGGACAGGGGCGGCCGGATGTCGGACCTGGGTCCTGACAAGACTGACAGTGACTGGAGGGCTCCTCGCGGCAGCACAGAGGCTGATGATGCACCTCCCAAGAGAGAAGAGGCCTTTGGAGGAAGTGAGTCAGAATTGGCTTCGTCCCTGCTTTGAACAATCATTCACTCTATAAGCCAGGACAATTGTGATCGAGGATAATTGTCTTAGAAGTTTTGGACAGAAGGGACAGATTTCCTAGCATCAATGATGTCAGTCGCAATTTGACTATGATAAAGCTGATAGCACTTTAACAACCTGGCATAATATTAGTTAAAACAATTTGTAAAACTTAACTAACTTTGTTGTCCCTACATTTATTAACATGTTTTCAGGTGTAAAACATGCTTAAGTGCAATTTATATATTTATCCAAAATGTTGACTTTACTGCTAAAAAACAATGCTTGGCTATCTCCCAGGCTCCGGTTAATGTTCAATCCAAACCCTAACAGTTCATTAGAAGAGGAATTCCCAATGTTAAACGGCATTTTTTTTTTTTCGTGTGCTGGTACTGATGCTGCAGGATCACGGGACCGCTATGAGCCGGACCGCTTCAGAGACGGGCCGCGGCGGGACAACGACCGCTATGATGGAGGAAGAGACCGCTTCCGTGATCGCTATGATGACCGGGACCGTAGAGACTTCGATAGAGGAGGTGTGTCTTCGTGCTTGTTCAGATCCTCTTGCCTGTATGAGCTTAGGCTTCATGATCATAATATCCCTCAAATGTTCTTTAACTATCCCATCTCGATCAAGTCATTGGCAAACACGTCTCCCTGTTCTCCATGCATGCACTAGTTCTTCCATTTTGATATCTCACCTGTTTTCTACCCTACCATCCTTCCAGGTTTTGACTCTCGTGGTGGTGGAGCAGGAGGAAGTAGTCGTCGTGCCTTTGGCACCGGCTTCCGCCGCGATGATGACTTTCGGGGTAGCAGTGATAGTTACGGTCAACGGGAACGTTACGGGGGCAGCGAGGACCGGTTTGAGAGGAAGGAGGAGAGGCGCGAAGAGAGAAGTGACGGTGAGTTGTTATTGCATCACATTAAATAATATGTATTAACTGATCTTATGAAGTAGGGTTATTTTAGTGTTGCAATTTGTGCAAGTATTATATGACGAAGACTTCAATCCTATGCACCCTATAGACTGAAAATAATTGTTAATATAAATGGTACAACAAAATGAAGCCAACCCAACTACATTTAAAAACAAATGTATTCATCATTTTGTATAATCTGTCAAGTTTCAACAGGAGGAATATAATGATTTCTTGTTCTCACAGCCGGTTCCACACAGAGACCCAAGTTGAACCTTAAGCCCCGTAGCATGCCCGCGGAGGAGGGAGGCAGTGCTGGAGGCGGCGGCAGCGGTAGTAGTGGCGGCGGCGGTGGTGGCGGTGGCGGAGGTGGTGGCGGGGGAGGTCCTTCCCCAGCTGTAGCTGCACCTCCGAGCTCCGGCAGCAGGGCTTCCTCCATCTTTGGTTCAGCCAAGCCGGTTGACACAGCAGCTAAGGAGAGGGAGGTGGAGGAGAGGCTGAAGAAACAGGAAGAGAGACTGCAGAGGCAGCTGGAGGAGGACAAAGGACGAGGACCTGACCGAAAGATTCGAGACAGGTCAGGGGTCCACATGGATGATTCTTCATGTCATTGTTTGTGAACATGCGATAACTCAATTGGTTATTTATGTTATATGAACACTCTATTGGGGGAAGCTCATTGGATCCATTCCTAAAAATATATTTTAGGAAGATTTAAAAAAAAAAAAAAAACGTAACTCTTGTAAATGTATAAACTTATTTTCTTTTTTGTTTTCAGGGACCCAAGCTGGCGCAATGAAGAAAGTCATCCTTCGAGGTCTCGCACAGGAAGTGAGTCTTCACAGCAAGGAAGTACTTCTGGAAGAGGTGAGATACGGCCGTGTTTGAGTTTGTTAAAGATTGCCTTCAGGAATCCGGCTGTGTATCTTATTTTTGTGTCTGTTTCTTAACATGGCACTTTCAGCTAACACAGAATAATATATATGTCATCAAATCAGTCTAATCGGTTGGACAATCATATAAAGATTTAATTTTGAGAACCTTTTTGTTTATAAAAAAAGGTTCTTTGTAAAAAATAGTTCTGTAGGCTACCATCAGTAATATACAATGTTGATAATAAACAATATGTGCAATGTACTTTGTATAAAAAAAAAAAAAAACATAACATAACGCTGTTCTTTTTCATCCTAAAGGCTCCAGGTGTCGAGATGGTGAGCGCTCTGGGGAGAATGAGGTTTTCAGTGCGAGAGATAGTGAGCCCTCCTCCCCTGGGACCTCCCCGCTGCCCCCCTCCACCAACTCCCCCAAGGAGCTGCTGAAGGTGGTGCCAGCGCCTCCTCCCAAGGAGAATGTCTGGGCCAAGAGAAGTGCAGCCAGCACAGGCTCTAGTGAGGGGGACGGACGACCTCCGGTCTCTCCCGTCTCCCCCGGTGGGTCGACTCCTCCCAAGCTCAGGTGAGACATGCTGCATGATGGGAAGCCTTTCCCCAGCACACTGCTCAGAAACTGCCATTTCAAAAAATGTCACTCGTAGAACTAGTTATCAAAAGTTATTGGAAAAGTGAAACTGTCGGTGTTCAAGTGTTTTGTGTACAAACTCCTGACTATTCTTACTTTCTCCTTAGCTCCCCAAATTCTGCGGATGAAAGAGAATCTGAAAAAGGTAAGGTCTGCTGATGTGTGGGGACTGTTTACCCAAATCCCAGTGTAGACCTCGATTACCATAAAACAAATAATTTAAACTAAATCAACAAGCATGTATTAGACACCAACTCGCATGATCTGCTACGCTGTGTTGTTATTGTTTTGATCAAGTTAGTGGCAGAAAAATAGATCTTGTAAGATCAACTGTAACTCCAAGGATTTCTCTTAGTTATTTTGCAGACTCGAAAGTCCATAAAGAGAAACATTTGTTTGAAAATTAGAATCTGGTGTTTTCAGTTAATTCTGTTAAGTTAGATGTCAACTTTCACTAAGCAGACAGGAAGTACATTTCTTATGTACGTAGTCCGTGTAATAACATAAGTCTGATATGAAGTAGGGCTGCTCAATTAATCGCAATTACGATTTTGGCTTGCAACGATTATGAAAACAACATCGAAATAAAACGATTATTTTATTTGTATTGGTTTTTCAGTTGAATTATACGTAGAGTTCACGGTAATCAACTGTTAAAAACATACTGTTCACAATTTTTTTCCCAATAAATGGATGTTTTCAAAGTAAATGGATAATCGTTTTTTAATAATTGTGATATCAATTATTGACCCAAATAATAGAGATTATGATTTTTGCCATAATCGAGCAGCCCTACCCATGTCCCAAGCAGATGAAGCTCAGATAGTTTTAATACCATTATTAAATAAAAGAAGTTTCAATTTTGTGTTAAGCATTATTAATTTTTTTATCATCCACACAGATAAATAAGAAATGTGACAAGAGAGGTCAAGAAGCCACATGCTTACACAAGGGAGCAAAA